GGCATAAAACTCACTTTTTCTGCCTCAAAATTTGAGTCAATCAACAAAATAAAAGCCGGAATGTTTTCAATAATAGGGCATACAGTGATAAGGACATTACACTTTGTGGCACTCGCTCGCTTTCTACAACACAGTTTCAAACATTGTCACGCACGTACATATAAGGATTCGGACCACTCTCAAAATAAAATTCTCGCTACACCCCTGCCTAAAGTCCATAGATTTTTCTCTTTTACTTGAATGCCGACAACTGCCTTCTCTCCTGGCCTCATCTTGCGCGCAGTCGCTGTCTACCACCATTTCCTTCCCAGATCGGAGGATTTACAAAGGCACCTTCAGCCAAGTACATCTGCCCATGGCCCCATTTTTCAGTGGACAATATGTAAACTCGACGGGCCTTTTCCTCCTGTCACTCCCCCGTCGTTAGTAAGCAGAGGACGTGTTTCACCAGGTGCTGAAAAAGCGTTTGGAAGAACATGGCTACCATAAGCCACCGTTAGCCAATGAGATGCATCGGTGGCGCTTGAATGGTTTTCGGTACTTAAAGAGACCCTGAACAAATATTCGAAAAACTGCCGAAACTTTGTAATTCTACTCGGAAGAAGCGACTGTTCCGATGAAGAGTAAATTGTCCATATTTTGAACAGTTCTTTGTATTTCTGATGGATTGTCAGTGAGTGGCGGCTGCATGGGAGAGGGAGCCGTGACTTCAAACTCGCCGAAGCGCATGCAGGGTGCAACAGTTTCTGTCCACCTTTCCATTCATTCCACTCTCCCCCTTCCACGAAAGCGCGCGGATGCTTTGCTTCAGCTCCCAGCATTGTTCGCAACAGGTGGTGTTCATACCGGTTCTGGAAACCGTAGAGAAGAGAAGTGAGACGCGGGCGACGGTTAGCATTAGGTCCGTTCGAACCGGTTCACGGCTGTGCACGCGAAGTTCAGAAATTACGCAGCGCGAGTTCAGTGGTGCAGGCACAGTGCGACACCTGAAACGAACGATGTGCCTACAAGGTGCAGACCTTATTTCTGTTTGCTTAGTTGACACCGTTCAGCTAACACTGACCGATGGCAAATCGCACATGCGTACAGTACAGTTTATGAGGCGTAAACATCTGGACAAAACACATCGCATTAGCAGACGATAGTTATAGCGCGAAAACAAAACGACAAAATGGCAAGAAGGTTTTGTTTTCGCGCTATAACTATCGTCATGCCATACCAACTAGCCCAAGCTGCCACACTTCTAAGTAGCATTAGCAGAGGTGGGTACGGCGTCTACTCCAAAGTGCTGCGTCGTCTGCTCAGCTGCACGCGCGGCTGCACCATGCCGACACCGCCAGCGTAACAGGGGCAGAAAAAATTGTGAACCAGCGCTGCACCTGTTCTGCACCTTTCGAAACGAATGGTAGGGTTCAGAGGTCGTGAAGGCTGCATCACTGAAACGAAGGACAAGGTGCAGCACCCCGTGAATCGATTCATGTGGTGCAAGCGAATCGAACGGACCTATTGTTGATTTGCCCGTTTCGAGTGGGTACGAAGTCGCAAAACGTCACTTCCTATAGTTCTCAGCTCACCCGCTAGACTCATGAGTTTTTCAAAAATGCATTAAAAACATTATTTTCCGGCAGTTTTTGTCTGGATTGTAGGTGTTCTCTATCGATCTCAGTGCCCAATCTTTGTTTAGTTGAAATTCCTGGTGGTAAAAATGTTGTTCAGTGTTTTTTAAAGAAAGAATAGGGAAATATCTAGGGGCTTTATGTCTTCCAAGTGGGTAAGACAATCGGCTTTTGAGGGTAGGTGAGATTGTTCTTTGAAATATCACCACTAGCGTGCAGTATTCTTACTTTTTTTTATTCGTTCATTTATCTGGCAGTACTCAGAAGACCGGGTGTTCGAGCCTTGACACACTAGCTAATTCGTTCTTTCGAGTAACTCCACAGGGCACTGCGTATTTGTGTGGTGAAGGCGTGGTGTTGTTGCATAACGAATACGTTTCCTGTTGAAGGCGCTAAGTATACTCGGGCCGTAGAAAAAACAAACAACGAAAACCGGCCAACAGGAAACGCCCACTGACTTATTTCATATGCCGAGGAAGCGCGCAATTTTCCCCACTTTATTGAACATTCGCTAGGAGCGAACTTTTTGCCAAGAATGACATACGTACCACCTAGTGTCCTACTTTAAGAGGGTGCTGTTTCGCTCTTCCGTGAGCATAAGTAGATAATCGCTGCAACACTGGACTCGCTGAATACCGGCCACGCAATATACGCTTCTTGGGCGGGGTACTTATTTGCCACACCGCTCTGGATACATCATCATCACCAGTCTACGTCCACTGCAGGACTAAGGCCTCTCCCATGTTCCGCCTGTTAACCCGGTCCTGTGCTTGCTGCTGCCAATTTATACCCACAAACTTCTTAATCTCATCTGCCCACTTAACCTTCTGTCTCCCCCTAAGCCACTTGCCTTCTCTGGGAATCCATTTAGTTACCCTTAACGACCAGCGGTTATCTTGTCTACGCGCTACATGCCCGGCCCACGTCCATTTTTTCTTCTTGATTTCAGCTATGATATCCTTAACCCCCGTTTGTTCCCTAACCCACTCTGCTATCTTCTTGTCTCTTAAGGTTACACCTACCATTTTCTTTCTATTGCTCGCTGCGTCGTCCTTAATTTAAGCTGAACCCTGTTTGTAAGTCTCCAGGTTTCTGCTCCGTAGCTAAGTACCGGCAAGATACAGCTGTTATATACCTTACTCTTGAGGGATAGTGGAAATCTAACAGTCATAATTTGAGAGTGCTTGCCAAATGTGCTCCACCCAATTCTTATTTTTCTGGTTACTTCAATCACGTGGTTCGGCTCCGCGGTTATTACCTGCCCTAAATAGTCAGTCTTTTACAAATTGAAGCGCACTATTACCTATCTCGAAGCGCTGCTCTTTTTCGAGGTTGTTGTACATTACTTTCGTTTTCTGTAGATTCATTTTAAGACCCACCTTTCTGCTCTCCTTGTCTAACTCTGTAATCATGAGTCGCAATTCGCCCCTGAGTTACTCAGCAATGCAATGTCACCGGCGAAGCGCAGGTTACTAAGGTACTCTCCATTAACTCTTATCCCTAACTGTTCCCATTCTAGGCTTCCCATTCTAGGCTTCTGAAAACCTCCTGTAAGCACGTGGTGAATAGCATTGGGGAGATTGTGTCCCCCTGCCTTACACCCTTCTTGATTAGTATTCTGTTTCTTTTTTTATGAAGCACTATGGTAGCAGTTGATCCCCTGTAGATTTCTTCCAGGATGTTTATATATACTTCATCGACGCCCTGATTCCGCGGTGTCTGCATGACGGCTGATATTTCTACTGAATCAAACGCCTTCTCGTAATCTATGAAGGCTATGTATAGTGGTTGGTTATATTCTGAGCATTTCTCTATTACCTGATTGATAGTATGAATGTGGTCGATTGTTGAGTAGCCTGTTCGAAATCCTGCTTGTTCCTTTGGTTGATTGAATTCTATTGTTTTCTTTACTCTGTTAGCAATTACCTTTGTAAATAGCTTGTATACTAGAGAGAGCAAGCTAATCGGCCTGTAATTCAAGTCCTTGTCATCTCCTTTCTTATGTATTAAGATGATGTTAGCGTTCTTTCAAGACTCTGGTACTCTTCCCGTCAGGAGACACCTCGTAACAGGGTGGCTAGTTTTTCTAACACAATCTGTCCTCCATCTTTCAGCAGATTTGATGTTACCTGATCCTCACCAGCAGCTTTGCCTCTTTGCATGCTCTCCAAAGCTTTTATGACTTCTATCACTACTAGTGGGGTGTCATCTGTGTTACTGCTAGTAAAGTCGTGGTTGTCCCGGCTACTGTACAGATCTCTGTAAAACTCCTCCGCTATTTTAACTATCATATCCATATTGGTAGTTATTTTGCCTTCTTTGTCCCTTAGTGCATACATCCGATTTTTGCCTATCCCAAGTTTCCTCTTCACTGCTTTGACGCTTCCTCCTTTTTTCAGAGCGTGTTCAATTCTCTCCATGCTATACCTTCTTACATCGGATACTTTACGCCTATTAATCAACTTCGAAAGCTCTACCAGTTCTATTTTGTCCGTTGTACTTGAGACTTTCATGATTTGACGCTTCTTAATGAGATCCTTCGCTTCCTGGGAAAGCTTGCCAGTGTCCTGTCTAACTACCCTGCCTCCAACTTCCACTGCACACTTCGTAATGATACTCGTCAAATAATCATTCATTGTATCTACGCTGAGGTTGGTTTCCTCACTAAGAGCCGAGTACCTGTTCTGCAGCGACACTTTGAATTCCTGTACTTTCCCTCTCAGTGCTAGCTGATTGATTGGCTTCTTGCGTATCAGTTTCTGTCGTTCCTTCCTCAAATCTAGGCGAATTTGAGACCGTACCATTCTATGGTCACTGCATCGTACCTTGCCAACCACTTCCACATCCTGCACGATGCCTGGGTGTGCTCTCATTATAAAGTATATTTCGTTCTTATTTTCGCCATTAGGACTCCTCCATGTCCACTTGCGGTTTCCTCGTTTCCGGTAGGTGTTCAAAATCCGTAAATTGTTGCGTTCTGCGAATTCTACTAGTAGCTCCCCTGTGGCGTTTCTAGTACGGATGCCATAATCTCCTACTGCCTGGTCTCCAGCCTGCTTCTTCCCTACCTTTGCATTAGTCTCCCATCAGTATTGTATACTGTGTTTTTATCTTACTCATTGCCGATTCCACGTCTTCATAGAAGCTTTCAACTGAAGCGTCATCATGGCTGGATGTAGGCGCGTAAGCCTGTACCACCTTCATCTTGTATCTCTTATTCAGTTTAATTACGATACCTACCACCCTTTCATTAATGCTATAGTATTCCTCAATGTTACCAGCTATGTTTCTGTGAATTGGGGACCCCACTCCCAGTTCTCTTCTGTCAGCCAAGCCCCGATACATGTATACTGAAGCGACTTTTCCAATGAAAACTTGTTGCAGGTCTCGTGGGTGAAATGCTGTCGTCTTCCGCCATGACTTCGCTCAGCCGACTGAGCTACCTGGTGTTTCTTCTGCATCCAGTGCCCATCTACGTGCACGTGGCTTCCGTGCGAGAGTCATTTCAGCTGGACCACTACTACATGGTGAGCACTGCCGCGGTGCGCGGCTGCGTACATGCACCCACAGTCAGTATATGTGCTTGTGTTTTACTCGCAGTGCACGCTGTATTTCGGCATCTTGGTCACTTCCATCCTAATGGCGTACGTGGCTTACGTGGCGGTTGAGGCGCCTTTCGCTGCTCTGGAGAGACTGATGCGGTCCCCTTCGAAGGTGCTTTCTGGCAGCGTGCCGACGCCGCTGCCCACAGTCAATACGGAGCCGCTGCAGCAGGAACAGCATCAGCAGAACAAGGAGCCTGATGGTTGGAGGTCACCGAAGCTAAGTGCTCAAGTAGCGGCAACCAAGAACGGAGGGAATTCAACACTGTCGCTGGCAATCGCGAAGGCACACGAATCAAGCTACCTTTAAGGATGCTCGATATTCTGAGGCCCTCTTTGCGCGATGATACTGCAGCTGCGTCTGAGGGAGATTCTGTCTGGGAGGTCGAAAAATCATTGTTAAGAAAGCGGAGTAGTGTGAAGTTTGTGAGAGTTGCGCACACACACATCATTTGTCTTGCACATCGTTGTCGATGTACAAGAAGGCAACTGTTCGAGGTAAAACCAGCAGGGAATGCGAATGTCAAGAGCGTCTACCGCTATGTTGAGATTGTTGTGCCTGTTCCTGATACTGGGCGCTTGTGCGAAAGCAGAGGTAAAGTAACAAAGTGGCCTCATACAAAAATGCTATTCGCACGCGGAAGTAAGCGTTCACTCTATAAACTCCGCCTTTTTGCTCAAACGAATACAATCGGCATTCAGACAGCTCCCCGCGAAAGCATTTCTTCTTTTTTTTAGTACATTAGGAATTTTCTTACGCGTGTAGGCCCAGAGATCAATTTCTTTAGAATACTGCTGTACAATCTACTTGAAGCCACCCAAAAAACTGCCATGGTTGATAGACTTTGGTGCCGGTGATACAGACACATTCAATGTGAAGCGAGAAACGTTTATACTCCTGCACATTTTTTTTTCGCCTGGGCAATCGCAAAGAGGGGTACACGCACTTTCTGGACCTATCCATCATGAAATAGTCAGCCGATGCCTAAAAGGACACTAAAGGCAAATACCAGTTTAGGCTTCATCTGTATAATACCGCATTCATCAGTATTAAAAACGCACTATAATCGATAATATAAAGTAACTATAGGACAAAAACAATGCTGTGAAGCACAAAATGTGACTCCAGCGTGGCATTTCTGTCCTTTACCGATCATACTGCAGCATATGGTAAACCAAAGTGCAACGCATTCCCATCATCCGATTGAATTTTTAGAAATGGTGAACAGCTGATAGCTTCTACTGTGGTTCTTCCAATTCCTATGCTTCTTCCACTCTGAATTTATTTTTGGCGTTCTTACCGCCGTCTTATTTATCCCACTGAATTCATACTTACCGCAGCATTGCGTAAGTATGGATTCAGTGGGATAAATACTTTGTTGACGCAATTAACCGAAATATGTACTACATATTTCATGTTTGTTATCCAAAGAAGACCGAAAAACCAACCGAAGTATCGGTACAATTGACAACGGACAGAGCATGCCACCATACCATGTACTGCCAGGTTTCGGCCTGCTGCCATCAGTTGAAAAGCTGGCGCAGCTTCCGGACACGGCTGTACAGGGTATTGCGTAGTACAAGTCTGACCGTGCAGAACCGTAGTTTCGAAGCTATGTTTTAACTGACGGTACACAGCATTCCTTGTTGCACCAAACGCATATTTTTGTTTTTGTTGGTATACTGTTTTTGTTTGTATATCTTGATCGTTCCAAGCAAATAATAAATTGTTATGGAATCAACAGGGTATGTCTCTAACGGGACGTTTCTGTCTGAACGTTTTGTGTACCGTTTTTTTAGCACTGTACCTATATTGCATCATATCATTTCTTGCATTACTGAAGGGAAAAAAACTGAAAATAAAGTGTACATAACAATCACGTTTCTTTTTCTCGAATGAACTGAAATGCGACGAGTTTTTCCATGTTTTACATTCAGTGAGAACCCTACTAATGATATAGCCTTATGAGCTGATGTCGGAAAATGGATGAGCGCGAGTGATAGAGAACAGACACATCTATAACCGCACCGGGTCACGATCACGGCAAGTTATCATACCAAAAGTGCGCCATATCAAAGCACCAGGTAATGATCATGTTTAACCTTAATTATTGTAGCACTGCTCTCATCCCACTCTATTCTAATGCCTATCAGGTAGATTTTCCTGACCATGAGTAGCCTGTGGTCAAAGCAACCGTGAACTATTTCATGCATACGATACAGCGAGTGCAATCACGCAGAAAGTATTTAAAAATAAATTTGCAAACACAGTAGTCAATGTTGCGTTCTCGATCGACAATGAAACGTTTATGACTGCATGGAGAAAACAAAACGCATTGTAAAGGCTACTGCTAGATGTGATACTGTTCGGCCAGTTTTTGAATAGGGCACGCAGGAATTGATGCCGTCACTACGCAGAGACACAGCAAGCAAACTTTGTGTGGTGACGCTGCACACGCTTATATAGAATGCCCCAAAAGTCTCAAAACAACTGACTGTATACTATACCTGAATGCCCCGACTATGTCTCCTATCCCCTCATATGTCCTTGCTCGCTGTCCCAGCGCATCTCTCTCTCTCTCTCTCTCCTTCTCTCTACCTTTAATCCTCCCCTTTTAATCCCTCCTCACCCCATTCCTTGTGAGCTACTGTTGAGGTGTCGCACGCTGATGCAGACAGTTACGGGGCTCACATTTCTCTTTTCCCTCTTATAACCACAATCGCCCATCTCAACTGTTCACCCGGACGATGCCTACGTGGTGGTTCCCTGGTTTTTCGCAGAGAGGATGGTAAGTAGACCATCGGTGACCAATGTCACCATCGTCGTAAGGCACTCTTATCTCTCTCCATGGACAGAAAAAGTTTACCGTAGAGTGCCATTGGCCGTAGAAATGCGCCATTGCTCAGCATTCGGGCTTCGTCGTTTGTGCAAGGTTTTGTGCCAAACGCTGACTAGAAGAGTGGAGTCTTCTTCAACAAACAATACGGTAGCAGTAAGGGTGACGTTACGAGCTTTGGCAAGACACTGCCGTTGAGACGATGAATGTGTCTAGTCTGAGAGCCAGCAGCTATTGTAGCAATTCAGATGAGACACAACAAAAGTCTTTAGGCATGTCATTTTTGTTATTTTTTGCGGTAACCATGATTAAACTCGACCGATCAATTAATTGAGACGAAAATCTCATCTAAATAAAATTCTGCGTCATCATGTGCCAATACCAAGATGTCTCGAACCGTAATTTCATTTAGTGTATACTTATAAGTTTATTTAATCCAGACATACTTTCTAGATTGACTCCTCCTTCTTCTTTGTTATTGTAGAATTTCTAATTTTAACCAAATGGTGTTCTTGATATGCATCTAAACCTAAGCACATTACCGTTTTTGCGGTTCGTCCTCATCAAACGCAGCCACAATGGCCTGGCCTTGAACCAGCAAAGAACAATAACGCAGCAAGAAAGTGTGTGTGTGTGTGTGTGTGTGTGTGTGTGTGTGTGTGTGTGTGTGTGTGTGTGTGTGTGTGTGTGTGTGTGTGTGTGTGTGTGTGTGTGTGTGTGTGTGTGTGTGTGTGTGTGTGTGTGTGTGTGTGTGTGTGTGTGTGTGTGTGTGTGTGTGTGTGTGTGTGTGTGTGTGTGTGTGTGTGTGGTTGTGTGTGTGTGTGTTGTGTGTGTGTGTGTGTGTGTGTGTGTGTGTGTGTGTGTGTGGTGTGTGTGTGTGTGTGTGTAATCATCATCACCATTCATCATCATAATTTTCTTAACCGCCGTGCTGCGCCTCTCGCACAACACTTGCCTAGCACGAGCTGCGCGAGCAACAGAAGAAGTTCACGCACCTGGCGTGTCGGACGCTGGCTGCCGCCACCGCTGCGCTTCAGCCATAGAATAAAGTGGTGAGACTGGCACGGTCCCGTCGGCTACCTTCGCCGTCGTCCCACGTCTCTCTCTCTCTTGCTACACTGGTGACGCGGAAAACGCACCCTTCGACGAGCCACCGGCTGTGACGCTTCCACGGCATGATTTTCTGTTAGATCTCGGTCATCATGCTTTGGGCTGTGGCATTCTTGTGTTTGTGATGCTTCGGCATGCTTTTGTGTGCGTGTGCTATGTGCCTATTTCTGATACGAAGTGAATTTCGTTACAAGCGAGAAGGAATGTAGGAAAGGTAGGGAGGTTAACTAGACTATGCGTCCAGTTTGCTACCCTACACATGGGGAGGGGGAGAGGGGAGTAGAAATTTATTGCACTCGCATAGCAAATCATCTGGCCGTCCCTGTGTCGATTATGGGGGAATGAACAAGTCGTGAAGATCAATTTTTTGGTTAAAATTGTGCGTCCGCAGACCCAGTACACTCCGCAATGAGTGCATATTCACGCTTCATCGTTTTACTCCGTCGCCTGAATTGCGGCAGGAGTGCGTGGCTTCTGTAAATTCGACAAACTTCCCTGTCTCCATCATCATGCCTTTTCTGAGCATTTCCTGTTTTGGTGGCAGGAAAATAGACAGAAGCAACGCACCAACTCATACTTAATCTTGGATCCGAACGAAAGGTACGCGAACCACTCATGATTCACCTAGTAACTCACAGGAATGTTGCGGGTTAGTTCCTTATATCTTCCATGGTACAGCGACGACACGGTTGTCAGGCTAGGCGCGTGCTGCCCGCGCGCCGGACTTCACCAGAGGGCCTCTGGGAAACCCACGCGCAATGGCGTTGACTGTTGACGGATTCCGACGGTGTCACATCCCCCTTCACCTGCACGACTTCGATCCCTTTGTGCGCTGTCGACTGAATCAACCAGTCGGACTGCACGTTGGTGTTTGACTCCAGTGCCTCGTAGTTGCACACCTGTCGGAGACCCCATGCATTCGCCTCAATGAGATACAGAAAACGTTCAGTTGCCGTATTTCTAGCCAATTGCACGTGTTCTCAATCTAATGTTCCACATCATAGGCGTGAATGCAGGCCAAGGTATCTTTGAAGAAAGGTTGTTCTACGTTTACTGCATATAAACTGGCGCGCCGCGAGCGGGTACCAAGAGCGAGTATGCCCACAGGTGTGAAACTGATGTATAATCCATAGACTTGATGTTTTAGTACGCCAATAATGAAAAGCTGTGGACAAGAACACTGTGCAAGAACACTGCTTATTGGTTAATAACATTTCACGCCGTCAGCAACCTAGTACTCTTGATGCGGGTGGTGCCGACGACGAAGCACCGTCGTTCACACACTATAAACGCTATAACACACACTTAACGCTATAAACGCGCCGATACGGGTATAGGCACAGCCTGGGGCAGATATTTCGCCAAAGTTTCTCGTTATGCGGCATGCATTCTAATATGGCGCCCTCTGGTGTGAAACTATGAAAATGTTTATAGAGAAAAAGGAATTAGCTTGTCCCCTTTTCAGATCCATCTTCTAGGCCAAGGCGCATCGCAGCCGCATTCTGTCGTAAGAAGCAGGAAGTCATTCACTTGCATCAACGAATCGCTTACCTTTGCCTGTGTTGTTCTATGCTCATCTGTTTATTCCGTATCATGCGCATCAAATCAGTCATTTTGATATCTTTTTTCACTGTACATAGAAGTTCGGGAAAGCCCCTTTTGTGCGGATAAGCGAAACAGTGCTTTACGTCCATACCTATAGATTAAGAAAACAAAAACACAAGTACCACAGATAATGTCAAAAGAATAAACTGTGTACTTGTGCATTCTGAACGTTTGGCTTTTTTCTCGAGAAGATTGTGCCACGACGAGCCGTCATACAAACTTCGTCACTTCTTCGTCACGGTATAACTTCCGGTATGACGTAACACAGCTGCCACGCCTTTCCCGCGTGCCTGTTGCGCTCGCTTTTGACATCGCAGATATGAGTTGATAATGAATATCTGGAAGTATGTCCAATTTTTCATTCGGTACCCTACGACGAACAACTTCTCCGTATAAGCAACGCTCAAGTAGGTACGAGAAATTTAAAGAAATTCGTGAATTAGTAATTTTTATTCAAGTTTAATAAAGAAAAATGTTTCCATCCTCACGTAATGTTCTCTTCGTGAAGGCGACATGTGCCTTACTGTAATGATAACATTATGAAAAACTCGGCAGAATCCACGTACCTTGGGAATCGATGTTATGCAAGACATGCGGAGGGACGACGACTGGGATGTAATTTTGTTGAGCGAAGCGTTAATAAATACCACTAAAAATAGTCACAAATGCTGTACACACTGACACGTTCTGAACAGCCGCACATGTTCAATAACGATTGCAACAGCTACATAAGTATTACAAACACTCAAAGTGGGAAGCTGAAATGTAGCGCCTGTACTTGCGAAGACTGTAATCCTGGATAAGTGCTATATACGCAGAGTAATTTCAGTGGATGACGCTTAACTGCAATCGACACTAATCTGACTTGACGCGTGTATTATAGTACATAAATATTACTTATAAAGTTATAGATACCAGAACTGCAACAGCACGTGACGTTTCACCAACATTACGCCTGCATAGGGTCTTTTTCAAAAGCATGTCCCGAACTTGGTAGGTCTCCACTGGTTTGCCACTTAGAATGCTTCGGTTCGATTTTTACTAGGACATTTATTTCTCGCATTTGTCCAGTGAATGCTTCCGATTTCACTGAGCGTTATCGCAACTAAATCACCACGATATGTTCTCGCCGTTCCTGGGTAACTGTCAATCGCCCCTTGCGCATAACCACAGACCACGGCCTAAGGTATACGGGTATGTGACCCACGTGTCTGGAGGAAAGGGTTTGACGACGTACGCGACAAAATTTTCGCGTGATTCTTATCACGAACAGCGAGACCCTCCCATACTAATAATTGATTTACTCCGAAGCAATCACGAGAGCAG